CTAGGGTGAGTGAAATCTCTTTGACTCGGCATATAGATGAGGCCCCCTTAGCTGTGAGCAGCATGGGGAAAGCTTACACCGCTTCTGCCTGGGCCATGTCTTTTCAATGGGCAAACAGAGCGATCCAGTCTCCTGGGACATCAACCTGTCACATTTTAAGTACATTGAATCCTGTTATAAAAAGAAGCACAAAGTTGTGTTAAGTATGGTACCTGCTCTGAAATGCTTTCCTTTTTTTTTTCCCCTCCAAATAATTTAATAATACCTTCTGGCGTATTGGATAAAAAAGGAGAAATTAATGTTTTATCTAATATTTTTGTCATTTCAGGGTAGGAAAAAAAAAAAAAGAGCAGAGCCTAGCTCTCTCATCTAGGTAAACCCAGAGGTTAAGTCAGTCAACTTGTATGGTATGCAGTAAAATTACCCTAGGACATTCTCTCTGGTTTGACTCTTAGGCTGCTTGCAGACACTTAAAAAAAACAAAAAACAAAAACCCAAAAAAACCCATGCTTTACTGGAAACAGCAGTACATTAGTTGGACCTGGCTCCACAGCATCTGTAGAGATTGGGTGCTTCAGCTTGTTTTTTTGGCACTTTTATCTAAAGCTAAGTCAATCAGTTATTAGAGAAAAGTGCCAAAAAAGCCCTACTAAAGTGCCTGATCTATACAGATGTTGGGAAAGCTGAGTTCAGTTAAGGCGCTGCCTCTTCTCGCCATGCACTGGGCTTGGCACGGGAGCATGTACTTTAAAGTAAAGTGCCCTTTTTAGGGGGGGTTTCACACCTGCAAGCAGCCTTAATTTATAGTTTACTCAACATTATCATCCAACAGTAACTTATTAAATAAACAGTATTTAATAAGGTGTTCTTTGTTTTCCAGTATGGATGGGACTAAAGCAGTTCTCTCTCATGGACGCACACACATGAAGTGGTGTCTGCCATGCTGGACAGTTAAGTGGGAATTTTACAACCATCATTTTCCCTCATTGTATCTCTCTTCCTTGGAAGCCTCTTAAGGGGGAATTCCAACTGGAGATGGTGAAGTCTACAAAAAAGTCATATGTCCTGTCCAAGAGCACATAGGCTATATATGCTCTTGAAAGGAAGGCAGGGGGTGCAATATATGCATTGTCCTCTTGGCCTCCAGTTCCTAGTTTGCTTAGCTCATTACAAGGATTCTTTGCTTACAGAATATCCTACATTGGGGTGGAACAAATGATTCACTTACCCTGTTTTCATGGGCAAGGTGATAGCTGGGTCCTCAGTTATTTCCTGTGTTTAGAATGCAGGGACCTTACATTGTGTATCTTAATGATTACTTTGAGTAAGTGTTTGTGTGTCTTTATTTTTTAACGTAGATTATTACACAGCTGCTGTTATTTCACTTTAAACCTAAAGGCTAAGTACAGACAGTAGGGGTGTGCGAAACGGGCCCTGTTCGATTTGGATTCAGCCTGAATCAGGGGCAGTGATTTGATTCATTGATTCAGATCACTGTCCCTGACTGAATTTGGCTGAATCTGAATCTGAAGACTCAATGCTGATTCAGAGAATCAGTGATTCGGGGAGAGACACAACTTCAAAAGTTTTTTCTACATGCCTTGAGGCGCAGCTTATAAACACTGCAATGCTGGGGCATGTGGAGCATCCCACAGGAGTGGCAGAGGGCCCACCACATGCTCAGCAGTGAACTCAGAAGTGGACTGGAAGTGCTTCCAGTTCGCTCTTGGGTTTGCCAGGGAGCACACTGGGGGGCCCCCAGCACTACCCCCAGCTTGGCAACCAGCCACAGGGGGACCCTGGGTGCCCCTTGGGTGGACACGCAGACCCAGAAGGCACCAGTCACAAAGCCAGGGTCCACTTCCAGGTCTGCTGCCAAGCATGCTGGGGAAGCCCTGTGCTTCTGTGGGAAGCTCCATGCACCCCAGCATCACAGCACTCACAAGCCCCTGTTACCTAGAGGTATATAGAAAAAACATTTAAAGCAGTCTCCATGTCCGAATCTCTCTGAATCAATTTGGAGGGTTCTGATTTGATTCAGAGACATTAAAGTGTCCTCTGATTCCATTCGGATTCGGAGATTCAGCCACTGAATCAGGCTGAATCTCCGCCGAATCAAATCAGGGACTGAAGCTTTGCACAGCTTTTGAAAGCCCTAATAGTCAAAAACCCCAAGGCTGAATTGATTGAATCTTTACAGGTTAGTCTAAGTTGCATAGATTGAACCAATAAGCAAGAGAACAGGCATTCACTTCTCATTTTTGGAAATGCAGTCACATGCCTGCTAGAGCATGCCTCCCTGCTCAGCTGAAGCAGACAGCTTGGGCCAAGGCTAGCCCACCTGTCCTGTGTGCGGGGGTGAAGGGGTTGTAGAAGAGGTGCAAAGCATCCTGGGATGCTGGTGGACTGTGAGTTAACTTGAATCTGGAGGGGTTCTTGTACAGAAGTTCAATAAACTGATTTAACCTAAATCAGTTAAGTTGTCTGATACTACATCCATCCAGATGTATCTTAAGCTGGTTTTGGCCCTTTTGAAACCAGGTTTTGGGCGCTGAATTTCTTTTGTGTTACAGATGTGAACTGGTTTCCGATCACTTACACTGGTTTATGTGTAATTGCTGTCCCTAACCAAAATTCCTTAGAAAGGGACAACTCAACCTTCCATTACATAATAAATAGTTTCCATTACTCAACTAAATAATTCCTTTATGTAACCTTTCAGAAATTGGATGTGCTTATGCTTTGTCTTCTGTACAATCTTCTAATTATGTTGACTTGAAGATATAGTTTCCTTTAACATCTTTCCTGAAGATAATTATTCCCTGTTTTTTAGACAATCCAAGAACTGGACATGCAGGATAGTATTCATCCATGTAATTTTCCATACTTGATATGTGTAATGATGTATAATATGCTGGGATTAGGCGTGTCTTTCAGTTAGTTGTGGGAAAAATAAGATTGACCTGAACTCTGTGTTTATCAAGAAAGTAAATGATATTTGAATTCTGCTTATGGAGAAAGTCCAAACTTTTAAATTTAAAAATGGAAAATTATCTGCAAGCCAAGCGCACTGTGTGAATTTGGAAGATAAATGTTATCTAAATGGCCATATGTATGGTTGTTTGAACAGTTTGTTAATTTTTTTTATTTCTAATACTAAAATAAGGAGAAGATTGAGTTATATACCTTTCACTGAAGTGAAAAGCAAATCAAGATTAAAATGACACTACAAAGAGAGAGAGAGTTATAAGAAATAATATTCCTAAAGATATTTTAGAATCAAAAGTAAGAAAAATGTTCATCTTGAGTCTTGGTGAACACCTAGGAAAGATGGGATAGAAATATCGATGATAATATTGTGATTAATACCATTACTCACTTCTGTAAAATGCTTGTAGTGCTTCAGATGACAGGTGTTATGAAAGCCCCAAGAAATAATTTTATTAAAGAAGAGTCTATGCCTGAATTTTATTGCTCCCTTTGTATTTGTAGTAAAATCAAATGGAGTTTAGGATGTGTAAGAAAAACAAATTAATGCCCTGTGAATCCTGCAAGGAAAAGTAAAGCAAAAAAAAAATTAGGAAGTTTAACTTTCTGCCCTAAACAGTGTGAAAATCAGAACCTGGGGAGTTGCCAGATAGACAAACTGGAATTAATGTGGGATAAACAGAATTAAAAATGACTTGCTACATGGGTTTTGCTACAGCCCTCATTCTTACACCTTTCCTTAGCTAGCCTGGAATTGGGATTTTTTTGCCTCAGTTAAGAGGAATCAGTGTAACAGTACAGGGCAACAATTGCTAGTCCACTCCCTAATTTCATAAACACTGAATACAGAACTCCCTACACTTTTCGGAGAAATGTAACTCTGTACAGTAGGATTGTATGTTCCAAGGCACATAACCAAGAGGGCAAAACATTAATCTTTTCACTACTATGACAGGAAGTTGAAATGTAACTTGATCCTACTTTCAATAGCAATGTTAATGGTAGTGGTGGGCTTCATGCATATGCATGACAGGCATCTTTTTGCTTGCTATTTAGAAAATATGTGGCTTGTTTTTCTGGGTTTTTTTGTTTGTTTGTTTCTTATTTTACACAACTGCAGCAATTTTCAGCCAAACTACACCAATATAAAAGTGATAAAATGCAGTGGAGAACCAGCCCTATTTTTTTATCCATTCCCATTCATAACTATAATTAAGTTCAAGTACTAACCATCCATGGGTTTTGGAGACATGGGTGAGATGGATCTAATAGAATAAGTCTCTTTATTTCCATCCTCCACTTTGCTTCCTCATCCTTCCTTTTGCTTTTTTAAGAGTAGTCATTAAATGGCCTACTTACATTAAATACTTTTTTGAGACTTATGAAATGGTCATAAGTGAAAGAAGGCAATGACAGAAAGAAGTGAAGAGAAATAGCTCAGCACTACTGAAGGCTATTACTCACATTAAGATTAACTCTGCTTTTTTGTGGATACCGGAATTCTGCAGTGTTAGTGGGGGCAATGGGATTGTAGTCAATTACCTACATTAAGTCAGCATGTTCCATTTGTATGGACACTCCTACAAGAAATGATTGCTTACCACACTTTCTTAACTTTTAGGAGAGGTATTTTCCAAGAGCATCCAACAAACTTAAGTGTACAAATGGGTTTTAGAAACTTGTCCATCTCCCTAGAGTCTTCTTAGGTCCTTGTATTGTGATCTTAATTCTGACAAAAGTTCCTTTGACCTCAGAGGAAGTTCTTTATGAGTAAAAGTGCAAGATAAGCTCTATTGGTTTGCAGTTCTATATCATTAAAGCATATTTTACTGTATTAAAGTACTTAGAGGTATGCATCTGTAATGGAGAACAGCACAGAGCTTTAAGATTTTCAGTTCTCTGTGTCAGGCTTTTCTGAAGAAAAGCTTGCTGTTTTTTAATCTGTTCTAAGCTTTATGAACTAAGATTCATGTTTTGTTAGAAGTGAAAACTAATTGTTTCATCTTCTACAGGTCAGGCTTCCTTGCAAGTGAGAAGGAGTTGTAGTGCATGACGATCTGATGCCATAGGTAAGTTGATTTCAGTTCTGTTTTATTTTTATTACATCGTTGACCAGTACTGATTACACAGCAAATCATGTTTTCAGTTATACTGGTTCAGCTCTCAAATAAATCCACAGACTTCATGTGAGTTGCTTTGGATTTATATCTGGTGAAACTAAAAAAGAGAACTTGGAACATTTTTTTTTTTTCAGAGTCGCATAGCAAAAACAGTAATTTTAATATAATTATTATTAAACTGTTCGGCCACCTATTATAGACACCAAAGGATAGATGAAAAATGGTTTTAGTTTACCCTATTGTTGAAATAAATTAAAGCAAAAACTTTAGTTCATCTCAGTTACATTCAGAAGAGCCACTATAGTTGACATGCAGTATGTGTACTCGCAAAGTAATAACAATTTCTTTGGACGTAGTAATGCTGCCAATGAGGTTAATTTTTTTACCTGCACTTTTTGTCCTTTATACTGTTTTCTACTTACCCTTTCACCTTGTGCATCAGACAAGAAATATTGAAAATAATGTATCCAAGCATGTAGCCAGGAGAAAAATGAGAGGTGAAAGGCTGGATGGAATCTTATATTGTACTGTTGTTGAACTCTACAATCCAGGGCAGTTGTTTAATTCTTAGAATTTATAGTTACAGATTTCTTTATCCTCACGGCCATGGAACAGTGCCATAGTCCAGCTAGAATCTTACTTAACCTGAACATGTGTCACTTCTTCAGCTCTGGAGTAACAGACCAGAATAATTTGACAGGATTAAATTTGGTCACGGGATGCAATTCTAGAAATGGTTTGTGGTAGTGTCAGCCACTGTGAAAATAATTAGTTGACAGGCCATGGTGGTCAGAAGCAGCCTGGTACTTTGAGTTCCTGAGAGATTCCTGCTATGTCACTCAAACAGATGAATTATGGGAGAAAACAATTTCATTTTGACAGAGTTTGTCTGGCAAATAAAATTGAGTAGAACTTTGTGGTGAAAGTGTCTTAGAACATGGCCAGAAAAGAGAGGTGGAAAAGGTAAATAGCTTTTAGTTTGGCATCTTCACAAGTCCAGCTTCAAGCCCTCTAGGAATTCTGATTTATAGCCTCCATTGTTTTGAGCTGAAGGGCTCTGAAGATTGTGGGGGTTTTTGTTGGTTTTTTATCTGTACAAAATATACAACCGTGATACAAATGACAGGGTTTTTATCGATAATACATGTAGGAGCATAGGAGGGAAAATATCATTGCTGTCTGTATAGGACTAAACATCAGGATAAATCTCTGAAATTGCAGACTACCTATACACGTGCTCAGAGGTGGGAAGAGGGGTGGCGGTTCATTAGACCAGCTCCTGGAGAACTGCTCTAATTAAAATGACTCATTGTCACATGTATTAACCCCTCGCCCATGTTTCAACATAGCCATTCAACATTTTAACTAAAGCTCAGTCAATGAGGTTTAGTTAGAGTGCCCCCAAAGCCATTTTGAAACATGGAGGAGCTTAATACACGTGACACTGAGGCATTGCTAGAGCATTCTAATTAGAACATGGAGCGGACTTGATTAACGTGAATGTGGAACAGACTCGATTAATTAGAACATGAACCAGCATGTGTATAGGCAGCTTCACTGACAGTACTTCCAAACATTCTTTTCATGAGTTTACATAGGCTTTGTCACATACTGGGAGCACCTACGTGTGCAATTAATGCTAGTTGGCTTTCCTGCAAAGTAAACTTACTGCACGTTAAATTTACTAACTGCATATGCAGATAGTATATTTGCTGTGCAGTAGATTAATTTACTGCACAGTAAACACCTGCATGTATAGATGATGATGCTTTACTACACAGTAGATTAATCTACTGCTCGGTCAAGTATCTTGTGTAAACAGACACAACCACTGACAACTCTAATTCCTTTGGTTCTATACAAGAAATTCAGTCTTTTTTTTTTTTTGCTGCTTTGCTTTTTCCTTCATCTATTGATCTACATATAATCTAGGCAACAGACATATTTAAATCAGGGATAGCCAACCTGCAGCATGGGCAGCTTCTGCATATGGCACCTGGCAGATCGAGGAAGGAGCAAAAAGCAAAATAGCAGATTGGGCAGTGAGAACAAGGAAGGAAGGAGGAAGCATAGCAGCAGATTGGGCAAAGGAAGGGAATCAGAGTAGTGCTTAGGGAAGGTGAGGAGCTCATTTGTGGCACACCTGGGAAAAAAGTTGGCTTCCACTGGTTTAGATAATTTTTTTTTAAATGTCTGTATTTTTGTTGCATTCTAGACACTCGTCACTTGATGCCTAATATAAATGTGTAAATCCCTGCAGGTATTAAAGAAAATGGGTCAGACTTGGCCTGAGGTATACCTCATGTAACCTCAATGAGATCAGTTCAAGTGATTGAAATTCTGTGAAATTGTTTGGGTTGTATGCTGCTGGAAAAAATGAATAGCTTCTTGGATGAGAGAGAAACAAATAAATACATATAATCTTTCTATTTATTTAAAAAAATACTGACTTCAAATACTTAGGGCATTGTTTTCTTGTTAAACTTTTACCTTTTTCCATCAATACAATGTTCTTTCCGCTTCTCTTGTCTATACATGAAAAATGTTGAGTTAAATTACACACAATGAGAGAGCGGAGCTGAGGGAGGTATAGACTGGTTAAACCAAGACATTTTAAAGATAGAGAAGGCTGGGAGGGGGGGACTATAATTAAAAACAGTGGAATTCCCCTCTCTGTCCTTGGTTTGGACAGGCCCTACATCTCTGCCACCTCCTTAACTCCTGTGATGGTTAGTTCCCAATCTTCATCCATTCTGTATCTTAGAAGAAGTGCAAGGGACAAGAGGCACAGGAGGAAAAGTCATAAAGTAGATAGATTGACACAGGGCTCTGGAAGATAGGAACACTGGCTTAGTGGAGGGGGTTGTCAAATGTTGCCGATATGTTACAGAACAGGCATTTTTCTCATTTGTTTGTCAATGATTTCCAGTCCTTTTAGATTCATGGCACCCTTCAGAAAATGCCAGTTCCTTGCTGTGACCTTGAGTAAGTCCTCCTGGATGCACAAAGTGGTCAAGAAGTATGACTTTCCAGGAGACAGTCTGGTGAGGCCAGCAGCCACTTTCAGGTGGCAGAACAGGAACAGGCCAGCCACAAAAGCAGCAGCAAACTGTTCCCTCTGTACTGTAAATAGCTGTGCAGAAATTTAAGAGTATAATAAAAGTTTGTTTCTGAATTATAAGCCTCCAGATACTACATGGTATCAGAACTGGAATGTGCTTGAAGACCCAGAGAAAGAGATGCTACAGAATCTGGGAAACTGCAAGTAATCCTGCCCCCTTCCCCAACTCCAGCCCTTAAGAATCAAGGGGAATGCTGAAAATGCCTGGAAAAGATTCAAATAGCAATTTTCGGCTGTATATGTAAGCCACAAGGGCAGACAAATTGGAGCAGTTGCAAACAATGAAGCACTGGACATGTATAATGCCTACCAGACAGAGAAGGAAGTGGAGGAGCAGAAAACCTTGCAGAAAAATAAAAATGTTTGAGGAACATTATGTTCCTAGAAAAATATTACTTATGAGAGAGATGTTCAGGATGAGAATAAAAGGAAGAGGAACCAGTGGAAGAGTTTTGTCACAGACCTAAAACTTTTCCTTATGAATATGGAACAGTTACAGATTCTCTCATTAAAGACCAGGGATGTTACAATAAAATCTGTGATCAATTACAGAGAGAAAGGGACCTGACATTAGAAAAGGCAATATGTATATCCCAAACTGAAGAACAAGCAGAAACACAAGTAAAAAGCTTATAGGAAGACATACAAGAAATGATTTTAAGTGCCATCACTAAACTAGCAAAAGAAAAGTCCAAATTAAGTTGAGCAAGCAGAATCATGTGAGAAGTAATAAACAATGTCAAAAGTGCCCAGCATTTGAACAAAATATAGATGCTATAATAAACTAAATTACTATGCTAAAGTGTGCAGAGAAAGTAGGAATGTATATACAGTAAGTGCAGAAGCAGATTTAAATGAAGAAGAAAAGCTATTCCTAATGATTTGAAAAGAGCCCAAAGGCTCAAAAGAATTAAAATGCAGGTGAACAGCACTTGTTATCTATAAGACAGATACCGAGACACAAGCAAATGTAATCACAGAAACTGAAATAGAGGCACAAAGGACTCTTAAAAGTAAGAGAGTTTAAAGTGTCCTTAAAAGGCTATAATAGAGGGACCATTCCATTGTTAGGAAGGTAAACTCATACACTGAGATACAAAGGTAAAATAATAGAAGAAGAATTTGTGGTGGTACACAGAGCAAAGCAATGAATTTCTGGCTTGTACACATGTGAGGCACTCGATTTTAATAAGAGGCTGTATGCCGTAGAGGTTGAACACTAATAGCATACAGTTGAGAGAAGATGTAAAGTTAGTAATACATGCTGTGGCAGAAAGCCACCTTGGTTTCTCCCCAAAAATCTCTGCCCTGTGACACTGTGATTTAAATCTCAGTGCTGTGACCATTCAATTAGGATGGGCCCAGCACACAGGGGACCACACCCTCAGCCTGTCTCTTTAGGGAACTGGAGCTGGCTGCATTCCTGAGGGAGGGGGAAAACCTGCTCCCTCTGCTTACCTGACTTGCATCACTTACCTGAGTAAGGGGTTTCTACCTGGGGAGCTGGAATCTGCCCGGTAACAGGTGATGCATTTCAGATTGGTTGGCTGACAGCCAACTGGGGGCTGAACCGCCTGCCTCCAAAGGGAAACTTCACCTGCCTTTGGAAGATGCTTGTGAGTAAGCTACTCAATCTGATTAGATATTTAGCTGGAAGTATAACAGACGCGTAATCAAAAGGCTACCACAGCCAGACTGTTTGCTCTTTAGGATTTCTAGATATTGCTCTATCCTGTACCCTAGTTTACCCTACCCCCTGTAATCAATAAAGTTCTCCTTTTTGACTGGTGTGGGAGACTTATTGAGGGGTGGGTCTAAATTATGCCTA